TGAATGAGGGTTATTTTCACATAATTCTTTAGTTTTAATCATCAGTTTAAATAATAAGATTCAGTTGCATTGAAAAATCACTCTGGCTCTGAATTTATAAACCTAGATCATGGTTACAGGAATGCACAATAATAAAAGATGTTAGATTTATTGTCTATATCTGCTGTATTACCATTCAGAAAATATGTAATATTAATTTTAACATGGTTATATACATAATTTGATGATTATAATTCTTTCCCAGAGTTTAGTGTGTGCTATTCTGACTGCTGATGTTTAATAACAACCCCCATTGTAGGACTGTCTTATGCCCAGTGACTTTTGTTGCTAGGCAACGGAGCTTGGTCTGACCGCCTGGTTGTCCTGAGCAGAGAAATTTGATGAATATATGGCATAATCAACACAGCTCAAACAGCTCCGGCTCTGAGAACACAAAATTAAATATTGACACCTTCCTGTTATTCCTCCTCAGCAATGCACATGTAACTGAACTCCTTCACTCTTAGAAATAAAGGTTCTAAATAGAATCAACAATGTTTTACGGCTTGATACGAGATGAGAACCTTTGAGTACACCACCAATAACTTAAAGAAGAATTAAGAACATTTGTAATAACTCATATAGCCAACTCAAGTACCTTACAGCAAAAAATGAAGCTTCTTCAATGTTTTTTTGCAGCAGCTTCAGTTTTTAGTGTGTATTCCACTTATGGGCTGATGGAATCAGTTCTATTCCCAAACTCCTCTTCCCTCCCTCTCCGCCGTATCATGTCCTATATTCTGTCAAGGTAATGTCCTAGATTCTTCCCAACACTCATTATTTAGACACTAAATGGCAGAGCAGAGATCAGAGGCCTTTTATTCAGCTGCTGTCAGCACAAAGTAAAACAGTTTATTTTTCTTTAATGGCTCGAACCATTCAAGTCTGAGGTATTTTATATTCAATATGTACGTGATCCATAAAAATGCTAGTGCAGAATCATTCCAGGAATCTAGGCATTTGATTTATTCGTTGCTACGGGCAACTGTCCTGCCTGTGTGTCCATGTGTGAGCTCATGTTTTAATTAATCATCTTATCATGTAAATGCAGTCATTATATTTACTGGGATTCAGCGCGCTTGAGTATTCATGTGACTTTTGAGTGTAAATGAGACCATTAAGTATGTAGTACTCATATATAACTAGATCTGTGACTCGCTGTCTCACTTGCTTTCCTTCAGTGTCACAGTTTAAGGCATCCATTGGCTCAGTGAAAACACACTGTTTGGTCCTTAAGAAAAACTAAATAATCACCCTTAAAAGATAAAGGGATAGTTCACCCCCCAAAAAAAAGAAAATTCTGTAAACATTTACTCACCTTCATGTTGTTCCAAACCTGCATGAGTTTCTTTCTTCTGCTGAACGTAAGCAAAGATATTTTGAAGAATGTGGGTAACCAATCAGTTGATGATCTCCATGGAAAAAAATTACTATGGAAGTCAATGAGAAGTTCATTTAAAAAAAATAAAGCCTAAAATGACCTTTAAAGAATGTTGTGTATATACGCTCTTATTATGTAAGCACACAAACCTTCCCGCAAAAGTCTGAGAAGGTTTGTTTCTAAAAATAAAACCTAAAAATAACCTTTACAAAATGGTTAGTTCTAGTCCTCGATTCTGATTGGTCAGCAGCTGAGTTTTATTCACTATAAAGCACAGCTATATAAGGGGAAGTCGTGGCCTAATGGTTAGAGAGTCAGAACCCAAAGGTTGCGGGTTCGAGTCTCGTACCGGCAGGGATTGTAGGTGGGGGGAGTGAATGTACAGTGCTCTCTTCCACCTTCAATACCACGACTGAGGTGCCCTTGAGCAAGGCACTGAACCCCCAACTGCTCCCCGGGCGCCGCAGCAAAAAAAATGGCTGCCTAACATGTCATTTAGAGATGGCTGCAGTGCTGAGAGAGCATTGAGGGTTAGTTTTCCTGCTTATTGAGTGCTGAGATAGATTTTGTGTCTCTGCAGGTTAATAATTCACTTGCAGTTGAGAAAGCCGTGATGGTGGTATTGTCTTCCTGGCCTCAAACAGCTGGTGCTGCTGGGAGGGCCAGATGGCTGCATGCAGAGCTGTCAGAGCAGGACACGGAACTGTCAGATTAGATGAGTTTCTGTCCTCCATAGCTGCTTTTTTAGGCAAAGGGACATAGAAGTAATCAATTACTGTATGTGTAGAAAGTGGCACACACCATAAGTGCACGTTTAAAATAGATGAACTTTGGCTCACTTGTTGCGATGAATATCGAGGGGGCACTATTTGCTGTCTTTCTGCATTTCTGAAATTGTTATTATTATTGTTGTTGTTACACATTATTGTTCATGTAAAATATTCTTCAAAGTACTTTCTCTTTTTTTAGTTATTGGAGGTCACAAGAAGAATTCTGCATGCAGTTTTGATCAATTTTCTTGCATGCGAAATGGAGTAAATAAAACAACAACAACAATAGTCTACTGTTCTTCTTTATTTTATTGTTATTACACATTATTATTCATGTAAAATGTTATTTTTTATTATTTTGTTTTTGATTGCACTACTGGAGGTCACGAGAAGAACTTTGTAGAGAGTTTATTGATGTTTGAAGAAGAAAAACTTTGTCTTACCTGTCACGATGAATTTATTTTCTTGTCATGTTTCTTGTTCTGATGTTTTTCCTTCCATATGAAATTTAGTATATAAAATAAAATAACTGTAATCATGTTTATTATTATTATAACTTTTATTATGATTATTATTATTAATGTAAAATATTTTGTTTATTTTGTTTTCTATTGAGCTGGAGGTTTTTAAATGTTTTTTTCATGTTGTCCGTTTTTAAGGTTTTTCTTAAATGTAGTATATAAAATAACAAAATTTTAATAAAATGTATTATTATTAGTAGTAGTAGTAGTATTGTAAAATATATATGTTTTATTTTGTTTTCTGTTGAGCAACTGGAGGTTTTTAAATGTTCTTTTTATGTTGTCCTTTTTTAAGTGTTTTCTATATATAAAATATAGGATATACAATAATAATTATAATATTATTATTATCATTATTGTAAAATATACATTTTCTTATTTTGTTTTCTATTCAGCTACTGGAGGTCAAAAGAAGAACTTTATAAAGAGTTTACTGATGTTTGAAATAGACAAACTTTGGCTTACCTGTCAGGATAAATATAAATGATCAAGAAGGCACTATTTTAAATGCTCTCTTCCTTCAGTTCTGATGGTTTTTCGTCCATAAGAAATTTAGTATATAAAATAATAATAAAGGATCTTTGTCATTCTGAAAGCATAACAATCAATAATTCACACTGATATAACAGTGGGTTAAGGTCCAGCACTCCAGTGCTTGCTTTATATAGATTTTTTTCCTCAGAATTGCACTAGCAGGGCAGTGGATGTCTAGTCAGGTTCATTCTGCATATCTTTCGATCCAGCTCTGCCCTCCTACAGGGCTTTGTATTAGACCCAAATGGGACCGAAAAGCTATTTAAAGCTCACTGTGTGGCACAGTTTTGAATTTCTCCTTGGGAATGAGCCCCACTTCTCCTGATGGAAAGGTGTGAAACCTGTCATCTGTGCTGAATGGATGTATTTTTATAAATTCTGATCACTAAATTTTATCACTAAAAATCACTAAAACACGAATCTGATCAATTATTCATTTAGCAGCCTGCTGAACGTATGGTACATCCCTCAAGTTCTAGTTGCAGCTTTATTGTGGCCCAAGTTTTGTGTGTGTCAGCATTCCCAGTTTAGGATTTCAGCACGACAAATGTGCTGCAACAGCTCAAGGAGATTACACATGCCAGCAAGTCACCCTTAGAGCTTTTTGGCTACTTCTGTTGTGTTTCCATACCCGTGGCCCATCCTAAATGGGCTATAACATGTCATTTAGAGATGGCTGCAGTGCTGAGAGAGCATTGAGGGTTAGTTTTCCTGCTTATTGAGTGCTGAGATAGATTTTGTGTCTCTGCAGGTTAATAATTCACTTGCAGTTAAGAAAGCCGTGATGGTGGTATTGTCTTCCTGGCCTCAAACAGCTGGTGCTGCTGGACGGGCCAGATGGCTGCATGCAGAGCTGTCAGAGCAGGACACGGAACTGTCAGATTAGATGAGTTTCTGTCCTCCATAGCTGCTTTTTTAGGCAAAGGGACATAGAAGTAAAAGCTCACTGTGTGGCACAGTTTTGAATTTCTCCTTACATGGGAATGAGCCCCACTTCTCCTGATGGAAAGGTGTGAAACCTGTCATCTGTGCTGAATGGATGTATTTTTATATGAACAAAGTTTGGACTTTTTGCTTCCAGTTAATCATTATTACAACAAAAATATAATTCTTTCATAATTGCTGCCTGCCAGGCATATCTACCTTGTGATATCCTGCAGTGTTAATCAATTAATACTGCCCTCCTACAGGGCTTTGTATTAGACCCAAATGGGACCGAAAAGCTATTTAAAGCTCACTGTGTGGCACAGTTTTGAATTTCTCCTTGGGAATGAGCCCCACTTCTCCTGATGGAAAGGTGTGAAACCTGTCATCTGTGCTGAATGGATGTATTTTTATACGAACAAAGTTTGGACTTTTTGCTTCCAGTTAATCATTATTACAACAAAAATATAATTCTTTCATAATTGCTGCCTGCCAGGCATATCTACCTTGTGATATCCTGCAGTGTTAATCAATAAATACACATTCACACTTCAGGCAGTTTCTTTTGAGCCTTTGATTTTTAAAGCCTTGAACATTTGGTTTGTAAACCAATTTCTTTCTTCTGTGGAACACAAAATAAGATGTTTGACAGAATATTCGAGACAGAGAATCAGTCAGAGAGTCAAGGTGTCATTCGGTGTCTCCTTGTGTATATATAGTCATACAGGTTTGAAACAGCTTTAGGGTGAGTAAATAATGACAGGGTTTTCAAATTTTGGTGAACTATTCCTTTAAATGACAAAAGATGAAAATGTTTATTTTGTGTTTTAGAGCTCCCAGAGAACTGGACGGACACCAAAGAGACACTCTTGGAAGGGATGGTGTTCAACGTGAAGTATCTGGGCATGACTCTGGTTAGCCAGCCTAAAGGAGAAGACATGGCAGCGGCTGCTATCAGGAGGATCGTAGCCACGGTCAGTCATCACAGTAAAAAATGTGTCAAAGGACTTGAGAAATTGAGAATAGTAAGGAATGATCATGATCCAAGTTGGCACAAAATCTTACTTACATCATTTTGTGCCTTTGACAGTTTATAGTGGTATAAAATGATGTTGTCACGTAATAATAATAATAATTATTATTATTATTATAAAACATTTTGCAGTAAAATAAAAATAATAATGATAACAATAATAATAATAATAATTATTAATAATAATTAATTATTTAATATTTTATCAATAGTTTATGATAACACAAACAGAATTTCTATCGAAATTACACCTTAATATTTGCTTATTATTTTATTTTATTTTATTTAGCTCAGTTTGGTCCTTTTTTTTCCTTTTCAGGTGTGAGCACATATGATACTGCATATATATATATATATATATTAGAATAAACTTTCACCACAATATATATAGACATGTATATAAATATATATATATATATGAACCAGAAAAGCCTGTTGTATCGATATGACTCAACAACAAACACATACTGTATGCAGTTTTCTTTTTTAAATTTTATTTGAGATTTTTTATTTATTTATTTTTTAATATATTTTGTCTGAAGCTTTAATAAACTGCTCCATTTCAATTTAAAAAAATTAGATTATTTTTTTTACTTTTATATTTCAGGTTCTACAGGCTTAAATAAACAATATGATTCCTTTTCTCTCAGATCTCTGAAAAACAGTTTTGCTTTCTGTAGCAGCACAATCAAATCAGGACGTGACAACTTTCTCTCCCAACTGTCAGACTGTGAATCACTGAGATGAGTTTCATTGTGTTTTAAATCAGTGTTTACTGTCTCCTGGGGAGAGAGAAAGACCCTCCAGATATGCTTTGCCTGATTTCCTTTGTCCTTGACGAGTCCCCTCTCTCTCCTCTTCTGTATTTCAACCATAATTTCCCCTCGTCCTCATCCATGTTAGCCTCATTTCTTCCTGCCAATACACTGCATTGCTGTACCAGTGTGTTCACATGCCAGGATCATAGTAACAAGGCATAAGATGAATTTTATATATGAGGCATCATCTCTTTTCAGCTCTTGTACCTGTGGAGTTGGAGTTAATAGCCCACACAGATTTTGCTGACCTTTAGAGGTTATTGTTTATAGTCAGGGAGTTATGAGTGACCTTTTAAAGCTGACAATGACAAAGATATTTGTTCAGAGTTCACACAAATGGTTTTTGCTTGTCATCCACACGCAGGCTCGGGCCAGTGCAAAGAAGTTTCGGAAAGTGACCCTCACTGTCTCCCCCAAAGGAATCATCATCTCAGACACTGAGACCAATGACCTCATCGAGGACGTTTCCATTTACAGGTATAAAACCACACCAAAACAGACCAAAATCACCAATGCTTTTTTGTATCATAATTTGAAAATCACAGTGTGGTGCTAATGGAAAGGCATCTTCAAAAATTCATTCATTCCAAAAAAAAAAAAAAACTGTACGAATCATAATATTGTGAAATATTATTACAATTTAAAGTATTTTGTTTTTTATTTTATTATATTTTAAAATGTCTTCATATGAAATAATATTTTTGTCTTGAACAAACCCAGCTAATTTAAACCACATTATTTTTGTTTTGTATGTTCTCAGAATTTTAAAAAGCCATTGAGTCAATTATTGGAATAAGCCTCCCTACTTCATTCCCTCCAAATCAATTGTTTAAAGATTTTTAGTCAGTCAAGGTCTGTAGAACAACATGAAGTCAGCCGTGAGATCACTAACCAGTGAATCATTAACATTTGAGTATGTCAAACAATATTAATATTCATGAATTTGGGATTGTGGTGCATCTTGCTTGTATTATACCCGTCTGTTGGAGGGAGGTGTATTATTCAGTGGGCATGAGAGAAACCCCCGTGCTGATCCCCCTTATCAGCTACACCAGAGACACAGTCACGGGAATCACCCATCTCTTTAATCCCCTCCTGTAAGAAAACGTATTCCACATCCTTCCTTCTCTCTCATTCTTTACTCTGTCCTTTCCTTCGTTCTCATTTTCTCTAAATAATACACCACACATGCCCTCCCTGCCTCTTTTACATTATTGTTTTCTAGTAAAATTGAATTTTTGAAATAGTTAGATTTAATTAGATTAGAATAAATAAAATAGTTAGATTTTATATATTTAGAATTTTTTATTATTTCTTATTTAGTTCATTGTTAGTTCATTGTTCTAAACACTGTTTGTTGAGGTTTTCATAATATATAAATATTATAAACTAACAGTTTTACAGAGAAGAAAAACTTAATTCAAAATAATTCAGTACTGTATATTCTATCTAGTCTCAATATAAATGTAGAATTATAGTGTAATTAAAACAAAATAATATTTTTGGAAAGCAATCAATTGTGTAAGATATTACTTTGATTTTATTTATTTATTTATTATTGTTTTTATATTTATTTATATTTATTATGTTTCTACTTGTTCTAATTTAAGCAATATACTGTATGTATGTGAGAGTGTATATATATATATATATATATATGTGTGTGTGTGTGTGTGTGTGTGTGTGTGTGTGTATATATATATATATATA